TTAATAGGAAAAATTACCACTTTGCTGGAATGATTGCTACAATTAGTTGAACTGTTAACTAACACACACGCACACGTGGGCTTGTCCTATTTCTTCCACCCAGCGCGCACAACTCACTGCATCTTCTTCCCTACTTACACTTTGCCCAAGTGTTTCCTCATCTGTGGGATAGTTCCATTTCAGACTCTCCTAAGTCTGGTTCCTAGTACTGATTATGTTGTGGCAAAGAGATGACTATCTGTTTTAGTTTGGAACTTACTTAGGGATAAGGTGGAAACACTGAAGTAGATTATGGAATGAGGTTGGTGTTCCAATGAAAAGTCACTAATTCTGAATCTGTGAAGGCTAAAAATTACTATCAACAAGGAGTGGACCAACCTTATGAATTGTCTAGCAATGAGGAAAGAACTGACATGACAAATTTCATTCCTTGAAAACCCAAGTTTAGTTCCAAGTATCTACTTAGTCTAGATACTTCCGAAATCATTGCTCGTTGAGTTTAATGTATATGCCTAGCAAGTGCTTAGGAAGTGGAGCTGCATTTCCCACCTGCATTTCAAACACTTATCAACAATTCAATTAACTTTATTAATTTTGTTTAATAAATGATACCCAATGTTTGGTTGGTTAGAGCCTCAGATCAGGCATTAGGGTAACTGGGTTCAACTCTGGGTATTCTACTTAAAGTACAGGGTAAATTCCTTCCACTCTGTCAGACTCAATTTTCTCATCTATCAATTGTGGAAGGAATCTGCTCATAGAATTGTAAATAACAACAATAAAAATAATTACTTTTTAAAGTGCAAACCCCCACATGAAAATGGCTATTAAAATCCCTATTCCGGCCCTCCCTGGTGGCGCAGCGGGTTAAAGCACAGCACTGAGAATCTAAAGCCGCTTCCGCATGAGTTCGATTCCCGCCTGCCCCGGAGGTGACCACATGGCGTGGCAGACCTCTCCTGACCCGCCCGCTGCTCCCCTCAGCAGTGTACTTCGTCGATCTGCCTGTTCTGCTCCCCACTCTGTCTCTGGTGAATCCTCTCACCCTCCGCATCTCTGGCCTGTACCCCAGTTCTGTATGAATAAATAAATAAATCTTTAAAAAAAAAAAAAATCCCTATTCCAAGAAGCATAGTGATGGTGTAGGCCAATTGGTGCAATGCAGAAGCAAAAGAGAAAAATAGAATGAAGATCTCAAATACAGAAAAGCTCAGTCTAAGGGCCTCGCCCGGAAGTCCCACACACATTCTTGACTTGGCTGACACCTACTTCTCCACTTCTCTAAATCCTCAGAGGAGGAGGAGATCCACGATAATCTTCACTCAGCTCAGGCAGCTGTCAGAGGTGAGTTACTGCCCATATTTCATACCCCGTTGTCTAGTCTATTTGTGGGACTGGTCAACTTGCATAGAAAGAGGTGACAGGCTTTGCCAAGGTTCCCCCTGGAAGGGAAGTCCGATCTCCTTAGTTCTCAGTTGGCATCTTGGAGCTATGACCTTGGCTGTAGTTCAGTCTAATCCCATTATACCCTACTTTGGTCCAAGTTCAAGCTCTGGTTTACAATCTCCTCTTCCCTGGTGTCTTCTAGTCCAGAACAGATGTGTTCACAGTTAGCACACGAATTTTTGATGCACTTGTCATTGATTCATGTTTGCTGGTTCTTCTTCCCAATTCTCATCACAGATGTTAGTCTCAAATAATTATTATTTAGCCATTATTTTTAATCCCCCATCTCCTCGGTGCCTCCCACGGGTCAAACAAACTCAAGTTTGTTAAATTCAAGTGATGATCTTTGAAAAGAAAACTAAAATCATCACAACCTTAAGAAGGCATGTGGCAACCCTGATAGGTGAAGACATGAGCTGGTGACATGAGGGGAGTCACCAACCCCATGTGACCTTGGGAAATCATGGTCAGATTACCGCCGCAAACATGGTAGCAATTTACCATCCCAAGGCTTTCTTTTTAAGATTTCCAAACTACAGCAGCACAAAGATCTATTCAGTTGCTCAAAAATCTAACATGTGAATCATTTAAAGATACCTAAGGTCACTGGATACTTATTTGTTGACAAAACTCCAAAAAGATCTCATCACTGCCCTGGAACCACTGGCCTTTGGGGTGCCTTGTACAAGATTTAAAAACTCCAAGTCTAGGTCATGACCTGTGCTTCCCATTTGCATAATTATACCTGTCAGTGGACTGACCTGAAGGGAGAGCATAGGTTGACAGGGTGGATTAGGTTTTCCTTACGCTTCAAGACAGGAACTGAGATGGACAGCCCCTAACTGGAGCCGGCCCATTAATAGGGTCAGGAAAGTTAGAGACCACACCACCAAAGATTATCCTCACAGAAACCTTCTGGGAGAAAAAGTGCTTGAGGATCTCTGACAGCTCTTTTCTTTCCCATCACTTTTTAAAACAGCATTTACCAAAGGCCACTTCTAGTAGTTAAACACTTTATTCTAAACTGGGAAGTCAGGCATACACTCTGTCTCTGGCAAATCTTCGGAGTCCTGATGGTAGGAACTCAGAGGAAGACATGTGACCCAGCTTAAAATTAAGGAAAGCAGAGGAGAAGCATTGGTCCTTATGGTAAGCAGGAACTAGTTAAATGAAAGAGAGGATTAGTGCAAGAATACTGTATACAAAACATGTATTTCTAATGTTCAAAGAAAGCAAAAAACAGTGGAAAGAGCCAAGGGCCGACATGAGTTGAGTTCAAATCTTGGTCCATTTGATATCCCAGCTGTGTTATTAACCTCATTATATGTAATGTAATCATACATCCCCTGCAGGGTTGCACTGAGAATTAAATGAGATAATGAATGAAAGGTACTGGGCTCAGTGCACTTAGTAAATGGCACTCAATGCTGTTAACTATTACCCATTACAGCAGCCTCTAAGCTGCTTAACCATAGGTTTGCCAGCATCACCTTTTTCATCTTTGTGGTCTTACTGCCTGCCTCAGAGCCTTGCACACTGCAGGCAATTGTTAAATATGTATTAAATAAGTGTTGAATAACTGCAAAGATACATAAATAAGTTTCCAGAATTAGAAAGCTGTTTTAATACTGCTGGAGTTCCTCTTCTCTTCATCCATATAGGCGGATGCATACTTCCCCAAACTGGCAAACCTGTCTCTCAGATACCCCCATTTCATTGGTTCTCCAGCACCCACAACACGGCAGCTGCCCCAACAACACTGACTGGAGCACACACAGGCAGATGAAGCACTGCTTGCAGACATACAATGCACAAACTGAGTTGTAAAAACAGTCTTTCCTTCACGAGGCTGCCATCAATGTTAAACAGTCATCTCAGCTGTCCCATCTTCCCTCTCGCCCACTCAGAGAAACCTTTGCGAGACATCCTCCTTTCTCCATCTGATTTTCTTCTCACCTCAGCAGAGTGTCCCACACTCACATCTACCTAGCTGAGGACTCCCACCTGCACACCCTGCTACTATGTCTATATTTGCTACTATTGGTTGGCTGACAGCACTCGTCTGGAGCCTCAGCTTCTTCAAGGGTAGAAAAGAGTTAGTGCTTCATGCCAACCTAGTATTTATGTTGTGAAGCTAAAGGAGATAGCAAATGAGATAACGTCTGTGAGGTGCAGAAAGCACCTCAGAAGAAAGGCGCTGGATAAACACAAGGTGTGAAGGCCCCTCCTGATTAGTGTGTGCGCCTCTGCCCACAGACTGCCACCCACACTCTGTTCTCTCCACCCTTGAACACAAACACCCTTCCCTCCTATAAATGCACTCCATTTTCAGGTGTGCTCACATAGAGACACATTCTCAACACTTTCATTTCCCCATCATACTTGGAGAGAATTGTTTTTTAACTTAGAGGAAACTCAGGATATAAACATCCTCTTAGCCCTACTCAGAGATTCTTTTCCAGGGTCTCTGGTGTAGGAATAATTGCCAAGCAGACAGCTCATCTCTGTGGCTGTGCGCCCACAATTACAATTAGGCTTCCCTTCCAACAGAGCAGGAGACACCTATCTGGTATGGCACCTGCCAAGAACTCTCTGGAACTCAGTGCCTCCCCACTAGTTTGCCAGCACCCAAGACCAGAGCAGGGGTGCTGATGGCCAGGGAGGGTGTGACTAGAGTGGACAAGGGAGGATACAGAACCTTAGATGCTCAGCATCCTAAGCACTCCTTGTTGCTGGGAAAATGAGGGCTAACAAGTCTGGAGCACTTTCCTAGGCCTGACATACTGGTGAGCAAGATGGCCCTTCAAGTGCTCAGCAGTTCAATCCTTCCCACTTGGAGCAGGCATGAGAAACATCAGTTGGCTCGTGGCATCTCAGTGCCTATTGCTACTGAGTTGTGAGCTCTGCGGGCTGGAGTTAAGCATGTAAAGTGTGTGTGTCTTGCTTTGACTGTATTGTATATCTAGGGCTGACCCAGAAGACTGAGCTCCAGGGGCCAGTTAAATACTCCAGTTCATCATCCCCTCTCTACTTCATCTGCTGTAACACATTCTGTCAGTGAAACATTCCCAATCCCTAACTACATCTGTGTCCTCACTACCAGTGTGTAGATATGGCTGGTTTCCAAAGTTCCTGCCGGCAAAGGTCGAGGCCAGACCCCCAGCTGTCAGACCCCCTGACTGGCAGCGGGATCACTGCCTTCACGCACACCCCCTGCTCATCAGTGTCACCGAACGCTCACATCCATCCAGATCGATCGGGGCTGCAAGTAGAAAAACCTCCTCTGCAGGAGACAGAGACAAAGGCAGGACAGACGCACCACCCTTCCCGTGCGCTGGGACCTGACCATCAGCACCCACCTTGGCAGAGGGGGAGACCCTAACAGTTACATGCAGAGACAAAGACACCTAGAGAGACCCTGACACAAACAAAGACCGACAGACTCGCGGACGCACTGCACGCCACGGGGAGTGCAGTTTGCCCGGAGCGTGGGCGCCGGTGCCAGGGCAGCAGACACTCATGAGGGAGCCAACTCGTTGTCCACCGCACCTTACCTGGCCCCCTGCGCCTCAGGCTGACTTGGAAATTTCTTTTTCAGTGTGTCTGGCGCCTCATTCCGGTCTCTTCCCAGAGCTGGCGGGCTAGGTGGGTGCCGCGGCGCCTCAGCCCCTCGCGGGTCCGGCTTTCAGGACCGGGCGGGCAGAGAAACTTTCGGCCTCGGCGCTCGTCAGCAGCCAGCCCGCCAGCTCCTGGCGCGCCGGCCTCAGCGCGGGTCCAGGAGCCGTGGGCGGGGCAGGAGAGGCGAGGCGGGGCCAGCTCGGCGCCGCTCATTGGTTGGGGCGGAGCGGGGCGGAGCTGGAGGGGCGGGGCAGGGAGGGGCGGGGCCACGGCCACCGTCGCTCATTGGCCCCGGCACGGCCTAAGCTTGGTCCCTGCAGCTCCCAGGCCTTTGTTCCTGGCTGACAGCTGGGTCTGCTCCCGTCCTCCTGGCTCCTTGTCTCCACCGGACGGGACCGATCGGGGTCCCGGACTCCTGTTTCTCTACTTTTACTGCCAGCGGACGCTGAGGGATTGCCCTGGCTGCTCAGCCTGTCTCTCCCCACTCCCTCTCTCTGACGGTTCCCATCTTTCCTTTACTCCTCCTTTCTTCGTTCTCTGTACTCAGTTCTTATTCCTTATGTTTTTCTCTCTCTCTTCCCCACAGTTCTTTGTAACCTCTTCCTCTTAACGGTTACTTTTTCCCAGTGTTATCTCCCCACTTCTGCCTAAGCCTGGCAGAAAGAATGGGTTTCTAGGATAAAAAAATCCAGCAGTCTAAGGGTCAGAACTTCCCCATGCCAGGATGGCAGACCTGAGCCCAGAGCAGGGATTTTCCCACTCCCGAGACAGTTCAAAGGCAAACTTTCCCAAGATCCTCCCAGAGACTCAGTTTCAGGTGAAAGCTAAGGCCTGTTTCAAGTTTATAGCTATTCATCTCATCTAGTTCTATCAAACACTATTATTTTCTCTACCACCCTCACTTTCAACCTCTAACAACAGAGGTAGCAGAGGGGCCGCGCTTGCAAGCTTTGGTCTGACAAAGGACCAGTTAACTGGGTGCCAGGTGTTCACAAATCTCAGATCCTTGGGTGCACTGAGGCGAATCCACTAAAATCAGGGTCTCCTGAGTGTCAGCCTTGCCATAAATGGTGTCTGTGTGTGGATAGGGGAAGAGTAAGGTGACTGACCTTTGATGGTAAGTGGAACTGGGGAAGACAGCCCAAAGGAGAGCAGCCCCATTCTGTCACTGCCCTGGAGGGACCTTCAGCCCCTCCAGATATTGATCCCAAATACTCTGATTCTCAGTTCTAGGCTGCCTGGAAGGCAGCACAGGGTGGGGTTTAAGAACACAAGCAGGCTCTGTGTGACCCCGAGTCAATACCTTACCTTCCTTATATCTCTGTTCAGTCATTTATAAAATGGGGTAACAATTTCCACAATGTAAACTCCCTGAGGGAAGGGATTTGTTCTCTTTTGTTCATTGCAGAGCAACTTGTTGGGTCTGCTTTGTTCACAGATGTGTCCTCCCTCAACACCTACAAATGGCCCATCTTAGGCAACCACAATAAATATTTGTTAAACAAATGAATTCCTGGTTCATAGATTTGCTTTGAGAATTAAATAAGAATTACTGATAGATATCACTTGGTAATTCTTTTTTTTTTCTTTAAAGATTTATTTATTTATGTGTACAAGAACTGGGGTACAGGCCAGAGGTGCTGGGGTGGTGAGAGGATTCACCAGGGACAGAGTGGGGAGCAGGACAGGCAGATGGACTGAAATATACTCTTAAGGGGAACCGCGGGCAGGTCAGGAGAGGTCTGCTGCACGTTGTGTGTCACCTCCTTGGCCGGGGATCTAATACTGCTGTTTTTTAACCCCTTGAGCCAATAGGGAGGGCCCAATTCTATGACTTCACCCCCAGAGACTCCTCTACCTTCTCTGAATATCTCCCTTCTTTCCCATCTTCATACATACTTATCCCTCAGTTTGAACAACCTTTCTCTACTTTAACAAAATGGAGACCTAAAATACAACTTGTATTCATACCTTTTCTGATCCTCCGGGTTGGGTGATGACTTTTCTATCAGCTCCATGCTTTCCTGCATCCCCTCCACTGACACAACACAAGGTATATCTTTCTTTAAGTTGCAAGCTACCTAGAGTTAGGAACTGTACTGTATATCTAGCTCCATTATGGGAGAAGTTTCTCAGGAATATTTGATGAATGTGTTAATATGAAGTGAACATCCCAGAAACAATGGATTCTTGGGAGGTAGAGTAAGGGATGAGTTGGGCTCCAGACTTCAGTTGAACTCATCTTTGTGTCTTTAGATGTGGAGTAAAGGTCAGGGACAAAAAGAGCTTCAGGGCAGCTCCTGGTTCTGGTCCAACTGTAACAGGGTGGTCCCTAGGAAAAAGGGAAGTTCCAGGTTCCCTGCCCCACCCAGGGGCAGGAGGGTGGAGCTGAGCAGAGAAAAAGGAGAAGAGTAAAGAAGAGAAGGAAGCCAGATGGAGAACAAGGAGGAGACCTGAGGAAGCCACATGGTGCAGCAAGCCTGTGATGAAGAAACCGGGCTTGTTTCCTGACCCTGGACTGGCTAAGGCAGATGTGGGTGAGATACCTGTAGGGAGGTGACTATGGCAGTGTTTATATTGATGTTGATTTTGCTCTTTTCTTCCCAGACATGTCAGACCATTTCTGACCCTTTTCTATGGGTCCCGGCCAGAAGGTACTTAAGGCTTGTGGCGGGCTTTCAGGCCTTGCTTTGGGTGGACTTTTGCCCACGAGAGGATGGGTAACTTCAGATGTTTGATTTAGAAATTATATTCTTTGTGTTGCGTATTGTATATTCACTGTATTAAAGTCCCTTTTCATTAAAGTTCTATATGTTTTGTCTTGTTGTGGTGGATGGCAGAACCCACTTAGAGCAGGCAGGTTTTTGGGGCTTTAGGGTTGCCCCTCTCCCCCTGTCCTGGAACAGATTGCTGCCCTGTAACACAACCACTGGCTCTTTACATCTTATTGGAAAAGCCATGACCCTGGCTGGGCCTAAGTTTTCTCACCTACAAAGTGGGTAATATTGGTAAGATATCTTTAAGGATCATCTTCAGTACTGACCTACTGTGAGCTCTGTCAGAAGCATTCTAGGTAGAAGATTGGACATGTAATTCTTCTATAATAACTGATTAGGGAAAGGGTGTGGTCATTGTGTTAGTGTATGTGTGAAGGGTGGGACTGGGATGCAACATAAAACAACAGAAACACCCTGTGCAAGGGATACATCAGAGATAAAGTAGGGTGCGTTGAGAGTGGGGGTGGGAGGAAGGAAGGAAGGAATGGGGAGAGGGATGAACAGTGCATTCATGCGCGCGCGTGCATGTGTGTGTGTGTGTGTTCATAAACGCCTTAGGAATGTGGGCTCCAGAAGTCCAAAGGCATAATTAACCCCCTGATTCAGCTATTGGATATGGTAATGCAAAGACTGGGTATGGCTGCCCCTCACACACACCCCCCCCCCCCCCGTGTGATGTCAGTGTGGTTCTCTTCCTTTGTCTAGAGAAGGACTTGTGTTTCTCTTTTCCTAGACACTTTTTGGGCCCTGAGTATCCATTTGCTTTCTTTATTCCTCAGGCTTTCCCTTGCCTGGGCTGAGTCTAGAAACTGGGACTCAAAGTCTGCTCTTATAAAAATTTCCCTGCCGTCCTCACCTGCTCATCCTCTGGCATTCAAGCAGTATCTGTTCTGCTTCTCAAGGAGCTTCCTGTTCTTCACCTATAGGACCACAGATTGGCCATTTGGAACCAGCCCATGGACCAGTTGACCCAAGGGATTGTCAGAATTAGAAATACCTGCGCCTTATCTCTGCATCTTCACCTATGGCATTTTAAACAATTACCTGAATTGCTTGTCTTCAACACTTTTCTAACTTTCTCTTTCAAAGATAAGTCTTTCTTATTCAACATTGAATCCTCAGCACATTATGGGTTGACAACAAGTACTCAGAAAATACTTGAATGAATTCTGTGGAGAGGGGCAAGATGATGTTTTGGAGTGAGAAATGGACTGACAATACAAAAGATCTACTTCTAGTCCTGTTATAGGGCACCTCAATTCAGAGAGAGGCACCCCTGAAGTCCCAAAACCTGCCTGCTCTAAGTGGGTTCTGCCATCCGCCGCAACAAGACAAAACATATAAAGCTCTAATGAAAAGTGACTTTAATACAGTGAATATACAATATGAAACACAAAGAATGTAACTTCTAAATCAAACACCTGAAGTTACCCATCCCCTCGTGGGCAAAAGTCAACCCAAAAGGGATTGGCCCAAAGCAAGGCCTGAAAGCCTGCCACAAGACTAAAGCACCTTCTGGCCGGGACCCATGGAAAAGGGTCAGAAATGGCCAGACAAATCTGAGAGGAAAAGAGCAAAATCAAAATCAATATAAACACTGCCATAGTCACCTCCCTACAGGTATCTCACCCACATCTGCCTTAACCAGTCCAGGGTCAGGAAACAAGCCCGGTTTCTTCATCACATGTTTGCTGCTCCATGTGGCTTCCTTAGGTCTCCTTCTCCATCTGCCTTCTCCATCTCTCTTCTTCTCTCTCCTTTTTCTCTGCTCAGTTCCACCCTCCTTCTGGGTGGGGCAGGGAACCTGGAACTTCCCCTCTCCTAGGGACCACCCAGTTACAATACTTCACCCAGCTTGTGGTCTTATCATCTTTCCAAGACTTAGTTTTCTCCCTGGTAAAATGGACCTCGTGACATTTGCCCTATGTATCTTGTCGCAATAACGCAAACATAAGCTGAATTAATGAAGTTGAAGGTAGAAAGAAAAGTAAAAATGTTAAATAAATGTTCGATATTATTTAAAATCAAAAACCTAAGAACTTGTGTTGGAAGATAACTATATTTAACTGAGGCTGAATAATCTCCAAAAATAGATGGAAAAATATAATGTTACAGTACCGAATAAGCTTTAAAGAATCAACAGACTCCCTGTATTCCATCTGTCTCCCCGCTATTCCAGGAAGTCTGGGAAGGCTGGTTACCCTGAAGGTGATCCCAGTGTGCCACTAGGGTCCTGTCTCTCCCTGGGATACAAAACAGTTTACCTTGGAGTTGCAGGTCTTTTAACCAGAAGCTACATTCCTTACCTATGTGCCCCTGGGCCCTGGGGA